GCAGTTCCACCTTAAAATCATCACTATTTCTCCCACACTGTTGGACAGACAAAGGACGAGCTGCTGCTAATGTCAGCTCAGCTTTGAAAGCTAAAATCTTTCATCTGGTTAAAATATATCGTTAAAAACCACCAAGATGTAAAAAGTGTATATACATATATCAAGTAAGTACACAACAATTGTGACTCTGATCCTAGACAGGCCAGAGTCACAGTGTGTGGACCTTCAGTGCCATGATTGTCAGTGGAAACATTGACATTTTTTGCTATCTTTCTGCCTACAGATTAAGAAACCCCAGCTATGCAGCAAATTGATCATGGACAATGTAGAAATCACTAACTGAGGTTGTAGATGATGAAGGTTGTCGAAAGAAATCACAAACTAATCCCAGAATGCTTTGCATTAACTGAATGTTTGCACATCAGAGTGCACCAGCACTTTGCTTGATAGTCTGTTTTTATCTTTGACCAACCTAGCCTGCTCAGAAATAGATGTCGCTGCGACTGACACTCTTGAGTTTCTTGATGTGTTGCAGCCTCCGTGACCTCTGACCTGGCTTTCCAGTCAGTACAGTTTTGGCATCCCTTGACCCCATTTGTTCTGTGTGAGTTACAGCTGCTGCTGTCTGTCCTCAGCTCAGGGGCAGCACGTACAAAGTAAACACACAGCGTCAGTGGAGCTCATGGAGTGTTAATACAAACACACCTCTCAAAGACACTCGTTGAAACTGAGGTATGAACAATAAAGCCCAATACAAAGTAGTCTTAAAATTGTAAAAATCCATGCTCTTGCTAGTTAATTCTAAACAAGTACTGTACAGTTATGTGTTCTTGTGTGGAAAACATTAGAATCAGTGTAGCATATTAGCTCTCTAATAATCAGTGTAAGCAAACTGTTTTTTTTTAAATGTAAATACACAATTTGGGATCCAAATCTAAACCCCCAGCATCCTTTTGCACCAGCTGAACCTAAGTTCCCCAGCATTAACTGATACATTGCAACTATTTGCAATAGATCATTTATTTACTGTTTTTTTCACTAAGGCAAAGATGGCTCACACATACGGTCATAAATAGTAGCTGAAGTCAGCTGCTTAACAGTTAAAGTTACCCTATGGAGTTGCAGGTCTTACAATACGTGGCCCAAGTGGTGTAAATGGACCATCCAGTGTTAATTTCGCTGACAAGTAATTTTTATCATAGTTTTCGTCGATAATAATAATAAAAATGTTTTGAAAAAAAAAATGTTTGACAACAAAAACGAAATCTGGGTGAGAAAACAAGACAAAAATGTTACTTGAAACACACTACAAGCTAAAAGAAATCACTGCTGTCTTGTACTGTGTAGAGGAGTGAAGACATGTAGAGAAGTGTTTAAATAATGCATTGCACTTTAACTAAACACTAAAGTTACTGTACATTATACGACTCAAATCATGTGATATTTAGTCGATTAAAGCAAGCCAGTCTTTAAACGCTTTGCTGAATAGAGACTGAGCATTAACTGACTTTCTCCCAACTTTTGTTGCTCAAACTTGGTGGAAACAATTGACCTTTCGTAAGCCACGCCCCTTTTGGAACCTCAGTCAACTTTCTTCTTTCCTGTACTTAGATATGCTATGTGCTAGGCTAATCTATGTTGAAAGGACAACCACATTTTAAAACACAAGATGGTTAAAAAGTTAAAGCAACATAGGCTTTATATAGTCACATCTTAAGTTAGCTAATGTTAGCAGAATTAAGTTTAAGAAAGGAGAAAGTTGACCGAGGTTCTGACTGAGGCGTGCTCAACTGTTATTGGAGGACATAGCAAAAGAGGGGCGGGTTAGGAAGGGTCAATTAGAGAGTTTAAAAAGAAAACCTGCATTGCAGAACCAGGGGCTTATATCCAGGATATCCAGTTCAATGTTAATAATAATATATGTTAAAAACAAAATATTGTTGTTTGCTATATGCCCACTTTCTTCACTGCGAAGGAGAATGGGGCGAGAGCATTGTTTCAGGTAAGGTCTGGAAATTGGTAGACTCCAATATGACTAAAGCTAACTTAGTCAAAAGAGTAGGACTTAAACTAAATCGAAGATTTGCTGTTAAAATGAACACTGTTGACATCAGTCATTTTGTAAATACAGAAGGAAAACAGGCTTTGATTACTACTTATGGTCACCTGACAGGCAAAATGGTATATTAAATATTGTGCTAAATAAATGAAAGGGTCAGTATTGCTAACTGTGTCACACCCCAGTTGAAACATACACGTCAAAAGAACAGTTCTCATACAGTATGTTCACACTGATATGTGACACCAGCTGAAAAAGGATTTCCTGGAGCTCTACAAAGCAGCAGGACCAGTCTAAATATTGCGCTTCCTTATTTTTGCATAGACACTTAACATTCCATAGTGTCTCATCATTTGCAGTAAATACATTCAGTTTCCGAGCTTCTCTGTACCCTAAACAATGCTTGCTCTCACATGTTAACACCTTATGACTGTCTGTGTTGTGATACACTGGTACACACACATAAGGGGAAATAATAGCAGTCTAAACTGAAAATAGTCTAGCTTTAACCAAAGTTGTGTTGTGAAAGGTGGGGGCTGAACTGCTTCAGTTTGTACTTTTGTAACTGATGCATGAGGAAGTTTTGTAAGATGTTGCCCTGTGTGTCATTCATTTACGTCAAAGGAATTAAAACACCAAAGTGGTCACTGATCCCGTTGGTTTCTATCTTTTGTTTGCCTGCAACCAAGCACAAAGTGCTGATTATTATTATTATTATTATTCTGACAGCTAGATTTTGATCAATGACTCCAGCAAAGGTTTACCTTTAACGTGCTACAGGGAGTTTTCAACGGGTTATGTGTGTAAGTTTAATACTGATGCCTATATTTGACCTACAGAAACAAACAAGAGAGAAGATTGGCTCTTTCTATATGGTTATTCTCAGTGCCTGTTTGTGAATGTATTTTTTAAAGCAGTTTTTTATCTAAACAGAGCGAGAGACACATGCAGGCAGGACCATCACCACACATGATGGTCCTTTTTTACTTCATTGCTGCAGAAGAAGCGACAACCCGTTCATCCACAAACACATAATCCATGAGGTAATTGTAAAGATCGGCTGTAGGAAAAAGCAGAATCAGGCGGAGAAATGCCCCCGTGGTGTGCACGCCGTGTCTGCCTCCTGTGTTTCTCTCTGTGTGTGTACAAGTTTCATAGTGGACCAGGAATGCCAAATAATGCTGAGTATGTTGTATTATATTAATTATATAACCCTTATTTTAACAAACAAATATCGCTTATAGCGCCTTTAAGATTAATTGTATAAAGTAGTATTTTTCAGTCTCACCCTTAAATGGGCAAACATACATGTTTTGCAGTTTTAATGAATTACTATTTTCTAATGTATCTAGGCTAATATAACAAAATGTCATGTTTTGTTTTTTAAATATTGTTCATTTTTACGCACAAAATCTCCCGACATGCATTGCCCATTTAGGGTATACATTTCACATTTTTCTCTTTTTTTAAAACTTTTAAAATATGTTATGAACAATAAATTAGCAACTTTCTTTCATGTTTTGTTTACAAAATTTTAAAAAAAGTTTGAACTTTTACAAGTAGAATATGTAACAACAGTAAATGTAATTTTACGTGTGAAAGCGAGAGAGAGCATGTGAACACACATTTTAGAGTACAATATTTCACACCTATTGATTATCTGTGGAGTATAGGCCTCAAAACGTAGTATATCTGTGATTATCCGTTTTATACCCTTATCTGGGCAGTGTATCCCCCAGGATACAGATAGTTAATGCCTGATTATCATTTTTTTTCATTATTCCTTCAAAAGAACATATAAAATCATCCTTAAGAATCAATATTATATCAAACACAGTCCACCCAAAATAGAATCAACATTGGAAAAAAAAAAGAAAAAAGGTTGACCTCATGGCAGGTGTTTTTGTTCACGTACGCTGCCATTTTGGATTTGGATACAGATGATGAGTATATTTTTGAATGTTGGCGTAAAGTCACATGACCTGAGTGCTTGAACAGTGATGTTAACTGTATGTGGAACAAACACTTTCACTTTCTAGAATGGTGGTCCTCAACCTGGGGGGTCGCAAGATGATTTCTGAGGGTTGCCAAATGGTTGTGGAAAAAGCTCTGTTTTACATGTTAATAGGCCCATTTATTGTCTGTGGCCAAAGCAATGGCCTTCCTGTGTGAGTCTGGTAGCTTTCTTGTGTTATACACATATGTCATATGTTACACATGGGTGGGGGGGGGGTTGTGACTACAAACCTCATTATTCTAAGGGGTCGCAACTCTAAAAGGTTGAGAACCACTGTGCTAGTATGAATTTCCTGTAAAATAAAGTAAATTCTATTTGATTTGAAGTACTGTTATTAGCTGGAGAACTCTGGTGAAAACAGCCACACGTGCCACAAAAGCGAACCAATGTGGAGTGTCCAATAAATGGGCCTATTAGGTCTACAGGTGAATTGTATGACCATTTGTGAGCAAGCGCTGTCCTGCACTGTCAAGAAAACTCCTTGAAAATGGTTTCTTAAGAACAATGGGGACCCTGATATTTTACCAGTGGAAACCTGCAGAAACTGGACTTGGACACGCAGATGGTTTCACTTAGCAGCTGTCATGTTGCTCTGCCACAATTCAAAACCTTGTAAAATTGCTTCGGACTACTTTGAATGCATGCTGAAAATGAACATACAATGCTTTATGTGTACTTCCTGAATGTGAACGTGGTGAAATGTGTTTGTTGTGTGTTAAATTGAGCGTCTAGCCGGCTGTATCTGTGTGAGTGGGATACATTGTATGTGTGTGT